TAATTTAGTAGAAAATCGAATTGCGTTTATCCAAATTGTATCGATTACGTGACAGACAAGGCTATGCTCGCTTACTCCTGGAGGAATCGCGGTGTACCGAGACAAACGGAACTGCGGTCGAAAGGGTCGCGAGCCGCGAGGTTGAACATCGCTCAAACTACCACGTACAATACCGGCGAGGATCCGCGTTGCGGAGGAGCTTCGTCGACGAATGTTTGCACGCGGAACGCCACGAAAGAATCTCCGCAATGGCGTAACGAGATAATCAAACGAGATATTGGTGTAACATCGCGCAAACTCTCTTTCTTTCATTATCCTGTTCTCTCGCAGTTATATAACGATTTAATCGAGGGGAAATCGTATCCCTCTTAATTGCATTTATCTTACATCTCTTTTTGCATAACGGTTTTCTTATGTTTCGTTTCTTACATCGAGACTGGCAATGTCACTTTATATGGATTATAGGACAGCCGAGCGTATAAATATACGACGCGATTACACCATAAATTCAACCATTTTTTCGTCGATGAAAGCTGAACACGTTGCATACGTCAGACTTGGCGAAAAGCCTCTATTGCATAAACGCAGTGCACAATTTATTGAATTGGACGATACGAATCCAAGATTATTGCATAAAAAGAAAAAGAATTTTTTATTCGTAGATAGAATTACATTATATAATGCAAATTATTTTTAACATTTTTCACTTAAAATTTTCGACTTTTAATTCTTTTACGCGCACTTTTAATTAACAAGTTTGAATAATTATTCGAAAACGACAACGCGACGTAGGGCGTATAGAAAATATATATCCCATTAGACAAAGAAATAAATACAAAGTGCGGCAACGAATGTATGACTCGAATGATATATCTAGCTACGTCAATTCTCTTTCATCACCCATAGACACCCGAAATGCACTGCGGGAGATTGAAAAATGATTTTCTAGCAACGATGTAGCACGAGCTACGCCACTGTGCGTAGAGTGGCGAAAGAGAGGAAGAGAGTGGAGAGAGGGCGGCTAACAATGGCCGCCAACCAAAACATCCGATAAATCTAACCGGCCCGGACCTCAAGCCCCGAGGGGTTTTAAACTCTCTCACCCCAAACGCCGACGCGAGCGCAACCCTTACATTACGTTACACACTCACGGAAAAGGGAGCCATGCCGTGTGCTATTGCAGGGCGAGATACGCAGGGGGGGTAGTGAAGGGGGAGGGTGTGCACAGTACGGTGGTTCCGCGCGATGGGGAGAGAGAGACGTGATGTGCGACCCACGAAAAACCAAACCGAGAGAATTCCACCCATCCACCTCTCGTTCCTCTTTCACCTCCGCGTTTCTCCGGCATTCATCGCTCCCCGTCTCGGCTAACCTCCTTCTACCAGTAAACGTAACGAGATCTGCCGCGCGCGAGCGGTCGTGTACCGGTTCTGACGAAATTTCGACGAATTTGTTTTGCCACCGCATCCTAATTCGTTTTGTCCCACCCTGTTCGAAGCCGCGGCTGAAATTCCGTCTCGACGAGCGCGCGCACTGAAATTGCAATGGAACTTACTCTCTCTCTCAGTCAGACTAAATAATAATTATTATTATAAATAGAATTATCGATTAGAAATCTAAAGTCTTTGATTTTGATTATTGTTAATTTAGAAGATTGCAGTCTTTTCGTGAAATTAAATGGCGAAAAAGACAGGCTAGTAGGAGCGGAATTGCGAGGAAGATTGGACCAACTTTCGAAGCGATCGCGTGTCTGCAACGATCGGGGAAAAATCGCGACGTCAGTGAGGGATGTGCCATTTCGAAACGCGTTCTTACGAAACTCGAAATAACACGAGAGACGTCGGCAGATCGTCGCGCTCTTCGTAATAGACGGCGAGACGGAAATATGCGGGCGCAGAAAACGCGGAGGCACGCTAATGTCGTCGTCGACGCAGAAACCCGACTCTCGTCGCGCGACGTATCGAGAGTTAAACGACGCCTGGAATCCCGGGATTCCTCGACAGTCGCACATAATCAGGCGCGTCTACGATATTCCGCGCCCAAGTTGAGTGGCGAACCGCGTCGAAGAATGTCGATAGCTATCGACTACGCGCATGAACGCACGCGAGTTTGACGTGCTGCTTGCTTAAAGAATATTGAAAAGTAATTTATAGTTGAGGTTAATAATAAAGAAAAAAAGCGCGTCAATGAGAAGAATGAAATACGTGCGGGTCGTGTTTTCCTTCGAGATTATACATGTATATATTTGCCTCTCTATAGAATAAAGTAACGAAGGATGAGTCCATATATATGTAAAAACTATGTATAGAGAATAAACGTACGCATTCATTGTAAATTTGATATTTTGCATCGATTTTAGAAATTTGAATCGCGCGGTACCATTCGGAACGTCAACACGCCAAATCGAATGAAATTTTGCAATCGCGCGTCGCCATTGAATATCTCTCGTTATTCGCGCGCGCTACATCGAGATCGACTCGATGCTTCTGAATACGGAAAAAAGGATTCACATGAGGCTGTGTGCACGAAACGAAGGTGGAAACGAGAAGAAAAAGTAAAACCCTTTCTCTCTGGAGCGATGCGCGAGAGAGAGCCCAAGTCCGCCCCACCTTTCCTTTACAGATCGGCTCGTGAGAGGAGCGGCGTCCGCTTGCTCGCTCCGTGGGCGGAAGGAAGAGGTCCAGATGAGGAGAACGAAGAGGACGAGAGGCCAGAAAGAGGGACAGACAGGTCGGCCCGAGAGAGGAACCCACGGCTGCCATGGTTACCGTCGCATTCCCGCCTCGCCTCGTTGCCATGGAGACGACGGCATCCCCTGGTCCATCTCGCTCTCCGCTCTTTTCGCCCTCTCGCTTTCTCCGCTCTGCTCGCACGACAAGCCGGCTCGCTCGCACTCGCGAAATTCCGTCTTCCTCGCTCTCGAGGCGCCAATCTTCTCTCCGACGACGACAGGCGGCTCGCTCCGTCCTTCCTTCGCCTTCGCTGAGAATACCGGAGAGAGGGAAGTCGAAAAAGAGAGAAACGGACGCGGAGGAGACAGCCCGTGGACGTCTACGCGTGCGCGATACTTGGTCCTCCGCGATATCAGCCTCTCCGGAACAGTTCGATCACTTATCAAACGCGAGTCACTAACGCAACCTCGTAATGCACTCTCGCCCGATACTTATCTGTGGCATTCGAGAGGATCTTGATGTCTCTTCAAGAGGATCGACACGATGTCGCCTCTTGCTGAAACGACAAGTGCACAAGATCGCGCATGCGTGATAATTCAATGAAAGAACGGAAATGTAATCGATAGTTTTTTGGAATCTTTGCTTCACTCGTTATTTTTTTCATATCCATTGCAATATCGTTCGATTTATACGTACATACTATTGTAGGAAATTTTCAGGATAAGAAAGATGTAAATGTATATATATTGACTCAAATTTACATTAATTTCTCACTCACAGAATTTATTGTTAATAATAAAAATACTTGTTCTCGCGCTCTCAGATAACTATTGTAGATCAGAATGGCATGTCTCAATATTACCAAGTTTAACAATTATCTCGAGCTTCTAAATTTTCGGCCTACTCTGCTCACCGTCTTAGCTCGACTCTAGTCTACAACTCTCGAGCTCCCGCTCTCCAGCGCTTTCTCCCACTACTTTTGTTTTCGTGTTTCGTCCCTTATACATACACAATATAGACTTAACTTATATACATTTGAGTAGCCTACACTATATTCCATACTAACGATGTGTAAGCACGCGAGGTATTTTGAATTGGACTCGCCGATACCGAATGAGTATAATTTGGGAATAATAAATAGAGTTCCCGGCAAATTTTTTCCCTTCATTTTGCGCGATACGCTACGTTGTACTCGTTAGCCATCGCCAAGCAAAATTATTCGCGCGCGAAACGAACGAGATGTAAGCGTTTCGTTTCATAAACCGCGATCCTGATTGGCCGTCTCGTCATCCGATATCAATATTTATTCAGCGTAGCGAATGCCCGAGGCCGATTAAAACTTGTTTATGCGGCCAACGATTCGCTCCTCCCATTGAACGCACACGAAGTACACGCATAAAATGATCGCGCCTTTTCTCTTTACCTTACGCACTGCACGCACGATTAAAAATGATTGAAGATTAATTCGGCCGATTGAAGATTAATTCAAAATAAATTTACACTTCGCGAATGTCATTACGCGCAACTTAACACTGTGTATTACAGACTTGAAAAGTATTATAATCAAACATATTGATAGATGAAACAATTAATTGCTTTGGAAAAAAAATCGCAGACAGTCGTGCAACTTTTAAAGGCACTTAATTTTTGCAGTTATTATTCGTATCATTTTTTGTATTGTTATTTCGTGTTATTATTATTATTATTATTTATTTGTTTATTTAGCTCAGTTATTTTTCAGCGCTTTTAAATTCCCCCAAGCGCAAAGCTAACAAAAAATAGATAACAATTGTACAAATAAAATGGCAAAAAGAGCGAAATGCAAAAGTATATAGACAAAATTGCAGACAGAAAACCGAAATAATACATACAATTGAAAAGAATTATAAATTTTTTTTCAAAGAACAGGCTTTTATAAAACTTTTACAAGCAAATGTATACGAGACTGCAGATAAAAAATAATATCAGCGAAAAAAGTAATAATTGAATTATTTTTTGTTATTAAAATATTTTACATCATTGAATAATAGCAGTATATTTCTAATATAAAGGTTCATAAAAAAATTAATTTTTTAGATTGCACTGCATCTGATGATGCAAACGATATTGCGAACGATTGATATGATATCATCCTTAAGATTAAAAAGAAGGCATTGCGTTTAAAAAAATCTTATAAAAGTCACTGTAACATGGGAGCGTTTATTCAAAGTATATGTAAAGTACATATAAGTAGCTGTCAAGTGGCAACTTATGATTAAGAGCGACGAGCTTATACATCCAATGGTAGAAGCGCAAAAATTTGAGATTTGTGTGAAGAACTCGACTTACCGGGACTGCCGAGGAAGACGGAGGAATAAAGGACACCACGACGCGCGTCGCTCGCCGCACGTTGCGCGTCAGGAGGCGAATTCCATTCTCTACGAGGACACCATTTGCCTGAAACATAATTTTTTCTTCGTTAAAAAATTATTATTATACAACAACATTACGATAAACTTAGTTTCTTAATCACGCTATTTGTCATGCGACATTAATAAAACATATTCATATAAGAACCGGATATCATGTTGCACCTTTATAAAAGAAAAAAAAACTTAATATTACGGAAGAACAGTAAATCTATAAATTTCCATTCTCAAATCAGCAAACGCTCGTTGACACGCTTTAAATGCATTAAAGCAAAGCAGATATTGCCGAGGCACAATAGTTTGAGTTATGGAAAAAATTTCTCAATGGATTTGTTTCGAGATAAAACGTTACGTCGGCGGTTACAACGCCACATTCGAAATGCTGTAGGAAAATCGTGCCGATAACACGAAATAGCCTGTTCTCGTGTAAAAATAGATGTTCTCGTATCGATCCCCCCCGCACGAAAACATTATTATGCGAACGTCGTGAAGAAAAAGTATGCAGAAGGGGTCGATATGGAGAAAGCAAAAGATTCGTGATGGTCGGCGTCACGACTTCGGCCAAACAGATTCTATCGCATACTTTGCCCTATATATGTATATACGTATGCTGTGTTATAGCGCTCATTCTTTTTTCACCGGGGTAACATGCGACGTTAACCCTATGCGATTTACTCCGCCAAGAATAATCCTACAATTATGTTGATTATAGTAATTAGTTTAAAGTGCACAGGAAGCCACACTTGTGTTACATTGCGCGGCATTCGCTCGACGATTACATTATTCAAGCGTAATATTAATCAATTTTGTCACGTGAACCTTGCGATCGAAAGGTAAAAGAGTATTGTACTTGTAAAAAAAAATAGCTCATCTAGAAAAAAAAACAAAAGAATAATTTTTTATTTATTTCTTTGTGTAGCAACGCAAATTCAGAGTTTCTAGCTCCCAACTGATTTATCAAGCGCAGAGCACCACTCGCGGCTGCAGTATTGCAATTTTCCAGATGCGAAAATAGGAAAGGTATCTACTTTATTTCCAGGGAGATCCCGGCTGAATGAGGATACACGGTAAGAAAGGGTGGCGCCGGGGGATAAGAGTAAGCCGCGGAGCGAAGTAATTTCACACGAGAGAGTAGGGTCTCGCTGGGTGAGAGAAGATCCCGCGGAGCTATAGTCTTATCTCGGAAATATAGCGGGCACATCCCCCTGCGAAAATTATATTCTTGGAAAGCAGAAAATTGCTTCGCTTCAGCCCATCCTGTATAAGCGCGCACAGTGCACCGATATTAAGTTCTTGTAACATTTTTGCATGCGATCAACTATCGCATTATATTATAGAGATGAAGAAATATCAATTTCAAATAAAATATATAAAATCGAATCGATAGATTTAATTAATGCAATTAATGCCGCGAATATTATTTCGATTCGAGTATAGCCGGCTCACGCTTCAAATTAATGGATTTAAAAACGAATCCAACGATGTTGATTATAGTGTGCTGAACGATGTGCGTTTAACTCTCTTGATTGTTACGGTCACGGTACGTCCCGTCAGTTTCTGGTGAAACGAAATGACAGGGCTGCGTCGGTGATTCGAAAATAATGGTTATTCCGACACGAGGGACAGCCGGGATCGCGTTAATGACAAGAGATTAGTGTCCTGGCACCTGATCCGCGGGCAAATCTATCGAGATAAACTCTTCTTCATCGATATGTTGTCGCACATGTTAAAGAAAAGCTGAAAGATACAGTGATTAAGTGCCGAATGCTGAGTGTTATTCACATGCAAATATTCAAAGTGCATTCTTGCTTCGACGTGGAATATCTCATTGACGGAGGTTTCATCTTTTCGCGGCGCGGATAAGTGAATAAACAATATATCAGGATTATTCAAAGTCATTTGCTCGCGTTGCCGACCCATTACGCACCGGCAGACCATACGTCACGGCCATTTCGAAGTCCTCGGAGGCACAGGTCCTTTGGATACCTGTAGAATCCTAGAATGCGAAGGTGGGGCGAATGGATGGAGATTTATAGCCGCTAGGAGACAGGGTGTAATCATACACATCGCCCCATCAACTCTGTAACTGTGATTTACCGTGGGAATTCTAAAAAGTTCTGGAGTTTCTACCGTATTTTCACCCGAACTCTCCGAATTTCGGTACACGGCTATGACGACTGTCATATGTCAAATCTATGTGACATTTGCGAATGTATATGTCATAAAATGTTAAGAACGTTTTATCCGGACGAATATATATGGTAAAACAAACTTTATAAAAAATCTTTAGCAACATAATAGAATGATAGGCTCGAAATATAACGCGCGTTCAAACATTGTTTTTTAAAATTTTGCTAATGACAAAGACAAATAAAAAATTGATTCTTTTTATTCAAGCGTCTGCAAAATAATCATCGCATCTGCGAGACGGTGCAAAACGCTTTGTGGAAAGAAAACAGATTCGTTAAATGGTATCAAGTGAGCCGTCTTCTTTGAATGATTACCGTAGCTAAATTGCGAGTTAACTTTGGTCTAACGGGTTCGCGTGTTCGCGACAGTCATGCCACAGGGCCGAGTCATGTATCGGGCAAAGCCCTGGAGGGATACGATCGGTGGGAAGTGGATGGACCGTGATACGACCGAGTACGTCATCTTCGCCGGGAACTGAATTTGTATAGCCACGATGCGCGACGCGAATTCCCGCTATGGGGCTTTATTTTTGCGCCCAACAACAGCTGACGGTTATAAATTGGAATGTAACGCGTCGGGCACGCGACAAACATCGTTCGCCCCTTCCTGCATCGCTGGAGATTTTTCCATGACTAATTTGTTTCGACAACGGAAAATTTCGGAGCTACGCGTATTAATTTTTTTCATTTTCACCAATCGTTGCAAGTCGTCGCGACTTTACATATATATTATGGAATATATTATAGAGAAATGCCTAAAAAAGTTTATTAATTTTAAAAGTTATTTCTAACATTTTCTGCAGAAACGTTGATAATTAAAAAGACTAATATTACGAGATGATTTCGCTCCGTCATCGATTAGAGAGTCTTTCAGATCGAAATAAAGAGATTCTTGAAGAAACTTCACGACGTCAGTATCCGGCTCTGCCGCTCGTGGAGAGACCGTAGCGGATGTTATAGGATATAGGTGCGTACCCAATAACCCCATCACGTCGGAGATGCTTCCTCGGTATAAATAAATCAATATAACTCGCTTCCACCCTTAGACACCGCCCTCTTTCGCCGTAAAGAAGTGACGTATGAGGCTCGCATCCTCAAGGCGAGGGTTGAAGAGGCCACCCTGTTATTTCACAGTTAGGCTCGTCCCTCTCATACCCCTCTAACACCCTCAACCATCTTTCTCCAACCGTCGTCTTCCACCATCCAGACCGACCTGTGTGTCCCTAGTGCCGCTTCCAAGCGCGCACGAGTCCCTGGGGAAGCTTTTGTCCTCGAGCTGTAAGCGACTTCCTGACAGGCCAAGTTTGCACCTGCTCTCCTTCTGGCTCGTCCGTGTCTCTCTTTCTCTCGCACATTCCCCCCCCCCCCCTCTCTCTCTCTCTAACTTCTTCCAGCCGCCCTCGACATCTCTTTCGCTCGTTGTTTCACGTGTTGCTCTATCTTTCTCTCTCCCGTTGTCTACCCTTCGCGAGCTCCGCCTAATCTTATGTCGCCCGTACCACCACCATCACCACCTACCGACGCGTAATTTATTCGGGATAGGTATCCTCTCCCTTCGGTAATCCGTAGATCAGCGCGCTGGATAAACCGGGCGTGTCATTATATACGTTCGTCGAAATTATTTTCGAATAATCCCCGTCGTCGACACCTCGAACTCACTTATCTTAATTAAAATTACCCTTACTACGGGACTCGGGCCGAATCGGATGTTTACGCAATTTACGGTAATAATGTCGATAATAAACATACATACTTGCTTAAAGTGACAGAGTTTATAACTCGTTTTTGTTTTGAAGATGCAAGGATATTACTCATTGTGCGGATGTTTATACGCGTGTTAATTTGTAAGATCCAATAATCATTCTGTAAATTTATGTAACGCTTTAAAATTTATATCAACGTTTCAGCAGAGAATAACTTATAAACAAAGTAAATTGACATTAAAAATTATAAAGCAAAATTACTCTTTTTTTTAAATTAAAACATATTTGCGTCATAAACGAGTAGGATATCAAGGTTGTCGGGCAACATCGTGACGTAATTGTTATTTTCCATTTGCGAACAAAACCATCGTCTTTCTCCGGTAAATAGAAGACGACGGACGGAGGTTCGCGTTCGCAGATGTCGGAGATGCCGGGTGATTAATGACGCCCGATAGACGTAATTTGTTGCGGCTTGCAAACTCGGGGATGCCGTTTCTCGGTACGTCTTTCAAATTCAAATTATTGATAAACAGGATGCTGTTTGTAACAGCCAGTACGAGATGCTGTCGAACGAACCAAGACGACTTCACTAAGCGCGAGCGATATAATAATTAATTTCAGACAACGATGTTACGCGACTTTCGTTATCTCGAGTCGAGATAGTTATAATGCATCTCATCTTACAATAACAAAAAATTCTTGCACATGCGAGGGAAAAGAAAAACTTGTGCAACGTGATAACATAACATAAATGCGGGAGCAAGAATTATATTAGTGTCGTAAAATCATGCTAAGATATTAAACAAAATGATAGTTGAGATATTATCGCATATATTAACAACATATTAACGCATGTAATTATTCCAATTTTCTAGATAATAATATTTTCCTCATTTATCTACGTGAATGTATTCTTAATTATAATTACCGATACAATATTATGGAGAGAATGTAAGAAAAAAATTGCACGAAGGATAATTTAATCAAATTGAAACACAATGTAAGCTGTATCCATCGCACATTATTTAGCTCGAATGAAAAGGCATAATTCTTAACTGGAATAAAGATATGAGAGTGATAGATGGGGTCATTTTAACCATTGTGTATTGTGTCACTAAAAGTATGTCGCGATCGTG